TACAGGAAGAGTTGCTATTTCCAGTTTGCAAAGAGAAACCTTATATACAGGGAGGTGAATGAATTACCCAAGATTTCCGGTGTTGGTTAATTGAGGAGTTGACACTGCGTCCACTGTCCACAAGGGAGGAGCCCAAGGATCCTTGTCCTCACCCAGATCAGTTTTTAAAAAAGATTTATTTATTTATTTATTTATTTATTTATTTACTTATTTATTTTCATAGAGGGGAAGGGAGGGAGAAAGGGAGAGAGGGAGAGAAACATCAGTGTATAGTTGCCTCTCGTGCACCCCCTACTGGAGACCTAGCCTGCAACCCAGGCCTGTGCCCTGACTGGGAATCGAACCAACAACCCTTTGGTTTGCAGGTCAGCGTTCAATCCACTGAGCTACACCAGCCAGGAGGTTGCTTTTTTTAAAACCAATACAATCTTCTGACTTGGTCCAGGAAAGTGGTGGTTGTTTAATGGGCTTTTAAACAAACCAAAGGACTGTCACCTCTGGTTTGTTAAAAGAAAATATTACACATCTCTCCACCTCTTTTAAAGTTTTTTTATCCATTATTGTCACCTAATTCAGATCTCTATCACTACACTTAACACATTGTTTTTATAATTATCAATTTACTGATCTGTTTCCCTATTAAACTATGAGTTCTGTGAAGGCAGGGACAGTTTTATTCGCCTTTGTCCGCCCAGTTTCTGAAACAGAGCAGGTGCTCTTAACTGTAAGTAGAATGAGTCAGCACTGAGTGGGCAATCCCACGTCCTGTCCTTCCCTGTGCAAAGACTCCTCATTGGCGCTATGGGCTCCCCCCAAACCAGAGAAGCATATCCCTTCCCAGGACACCGAAAGAAGGTTTCCCAGAGATTTCCGAGATATTAACATTAAGAAATGTCTGGATTCCTGCAGCTCCTCTTTGAGGCCCCGAAGAGAACACAGGCAACCCTTGATGAAGGTAAGAAAGAGAAACAGGGTGTCCAAATATTTCATGTTTATGGACAGTGTTGTTAGGACTTGGGCAGATGTGTATTCCTGAGCCTTTCAACCCTGCACTCATTGATGACAATGTTATTTTATTTTTATTTATTTATGTATTTGTTTGTTTGTTTATTTATTTTGGGGTAAGCTAATACTGTCATCCCTGTGGAGGAAATTTACCATAGATGAAGTCTACTTTTGTCACATCCTCTATCTATACTCTCAAGTTCACGGTAGAAATATATGGTCCTCTGAAGAAGACCTAATTGGCATCTTCCTAATTGTCAGGGCATTCTGTGGGAGGGAGGTGATTGGATGCTGTAAGAAAAGATGTCAAAGGAGTGGTCGCCTCTCATGCACCACACACTGACCTCCACAGTCAGGAGTGGAGGCCAGATGAGAGTCACCACCACCTCGTGGTGGCAGCATGGAAAAGGAGAAAGGAAGCTGCTCCTGTCAGTTAAGTGTTTCTACCTCAGTATTATAAGCATGGTGAGAAACAGATTCATTGCCTCTTTTCCACTTTGAAGTTTATGGATCCCTTCCCCTACAAGAGAAGAAAACCATCATTATCATGGCACATCAATAATAATTGAACGTGCCATGTGGGTATGTAGTTCCAAGCAGCACATTACTGGCAAAGGGCAACTCAGGTCATTGTTCAGGATTGGATAGTGCCTTCAGATTCTAAATCATTCAGAGGAGAAATGTGTGTCAAACTGACTAGTGAGGTGAAAAAGAAACTCATGAGAGAATTAGAGAACAGGTTCCCAATATCTCCTCTGACTTGCAGCTTCTGATAAAAATTATGAATGAATCCAAACTCAGAGGCCATTTATTTAAGCCCATTATTCAAGGATCACAAATGAAACCCCAGACTTCTCAGAAGAGCACTCTCCACCAGCTGGCTTGCAGAGACAGTTCTCTGGCCATCCCTCAGTTTCCTGTCTCTGTCAGTGTCATTCTGAGGTAATGCTAGCCTTCTTAGTGTTAGTTGTTCTTTCACCCCGCTCCCAGCCAGTGCCCAGCAATAAAACAGGATAAGTAGGGAATTCATAGCACGAGGTTGCGTCAGTACCCTGTACATGCTCTGGCTGTTGGCTATTAAGGCCATAACAAACTATCCCTTTTCTGTCCTCCAGGAAGCCTGACTGGTGAGATTATGTTCTTAAGGAGCTCCAGTACAGCATCTGGTTTGGACCCATCTAAATAAATGTATGGCTCCATGATGCGTAAGTGTCCATCTGTTTGTGCCTTTCCATCTGGGAAAACCATTCGGAAAGTTGGACTTTTTTAGTCAGACTGTACAGAATCTCAAAACCTTCAGATTCCTCTCTCTCTTCCCATATCCACTTTCTCCCCCACAGAGGTTTCTCATCCTGTCCTTGTCCCTAGACAGTTTATGACAGAGCTGAGTTGAACTCTATGTAGTACCAGGGGCTGAAAGAGATCCTGAAGCTAACTTGCCTCTTCCTTTCTGGGCTTTCCAGTACAAGCTAGGTAACAATAGGATGCACATCCATCACAGAGACGCAGACAAAGGGACACACAAATACACACATCGCTGATTAGAGACAGAGCCCTAAGACTTGAGAGTTTGGAGCTACTAAAGAAATTGCAGCATGTTCTTATTAAGCCCTAGGGAAAGAATTAAGGTGAGGTGTCCTTGCTTACATTTGTTTTTTGTTTTAAATTTTAAGACGATTAAAAAATTTTTTTAAAGATTTTATTTAGTTATCTTTAGAGGGGAAGGGAAGGAGAGATGGAGAGAAACATCAATGTATGATTGCCTTTGAGGTGTCCCCTGCCAGGACCTGGCCTGCAACCCAGGCATGTGCCCTGACTGGGAATCGAACTGCGATCATCTGATTCGCAGGCCCGTGCTCAATCCACTGAGCTACACCAGCCAGAGCAATTTTAAGATTTTTATTTTTATGTATTTTTAGAGAGAGGGGAAGGAGGGGAGAAAGAAGGAGAGAAACACTGATGTGTGGTTGCCTCTCACACACCTCCTACTGGGGACCTGGCCTACAACCCAGGCATGTGCCCTGACTGGGAATCAAATTGGCCATCCTTTGGTTCACAGCCTGAGCTCAATCCACTGAGCTACAGCAGCCAGGGCACACTTGTTTTTATTGTAACAACAAATATTTATTCCTATAACAAATAATAAATAGTAAAGGCATTCTGTGATGGAATCTGCAAAAGATACTGAATGGCAACAATTCTTCCCATCCTAGGATGGGCATGATCTTCCTATCAAAGGTTGGCATCTGTTTTTCCTACCCATGAATTTGGGCTGACCAAGTGAACTACTTTGATCAAAAGAATGTAGCAGAGGTGATGCTGGGACAGTTCTAGACCTTAAGAAGTCTACCAGTTTCTGTTGTTTTTGCAAGTTGGCTCCCACGCAAAAAATCTCAGGGTAGATTACTAAATTATGAGAGTCCACATACAGGACAACCAGGCAGCCTAGTTGACAGACAGGACCAAGGCTCTAGACACATGCAGTCATGTGGGACTCTTTATCTGTGGTCCATCCCAGCCTACGCCTGGTGGAGTAGAGACAAATTGACCCTAGAGAGCTCTGCCCCAGTTATAAAATCATGAGCAGATAAATGGTTGCCATCATTTCAAGACACTGGATATTGGAGCGGTTTCTTACACAGTTAATAGGATGGGGCAAAAGTAGGTTTACAGTTGTGAGTATGTGAAACCGTTTATTCTTATATTATTATTTATTACTGTATTGTTTTCTATACAAGCAATTGTAAATCTACTTTTGCCCCACTGTGTATATACCTAAAACAGCCTTCTATGTTCTATGCAGCAGTCATTGAATTAAGAGCTTTGGCTCTTTGAAGATCCCTTTTACAAATAAGTAAATGGAAGCTCATAAACTGTCCTGCACATGCAGCTGGTGAGTTAACAGAGCCAGCATTTGAACCAGGTCTGTTTTAGTCAGCGACCTCCACTGCAGTATGTATGGCTTAAGAAAGAAAAGATTTCCAGGATACAGGAAATACTAGGGAAGGTTTTTTGAGGAGGAAGGGGATGTGTCTTGGCTGAGAAGAGTGTGAAAGGCTTTTCTGTTCAGACCAATGATCTATTTTAAGTTGATGCAAAGTATCCATTCCAGACTTTCTCAAATGGAGTTCTATGAGAATTGAGTGCTAATGCCCGAAGGCATCCATTATATATAAATTAACTTCTTTCTATACCCCCAGAATATGACTAGTTATGCACGATCCTTGGGAACATTGAGAAAATAGTCACATAAATCATTTGTAGGGTCTAATGCACTTAACCCCTGCTGAGAATGCTGGGGGCTGGGGCAGAGTCCAGAGCCAGCCAGTCCTATACACAACGGCTAAGCAGCCGGCCTCCCTCCAGCTCAGCAAAACTTAGGTCAGGAAGGAGTAAAATACCCCAGCTATGATGCCCTAAGAATCAGTCAGACCTCTGGCCTCAGCCAACAGCCCCCTGCCTCTGCTATCTGTTGAAGTACACAAGGGCCACCGCTTAAAGTTCATACATTCTTAACCTTCCTGGTGAAGGCATAAACTCTTCACACTGCACAAGACCCCCAGTCACAGTTACTCTTTCAGCATTCAAGGAGAGCCGCACTGGAACCCTTAATTTTTCCTCATTAATGCATTTGATGGTGTGGAGTACCTTCGGAACTAAGGCCTACCTACCATGTGCCTGGGAGGGGGTGTGATTCCTTCATTTATTCACTTATCATTTACCCAAAATCTTAAACACCTATTCATACACATGTATCATCTGGGCTGAGGGGCACCAAGATATTTCCCAGATCAGTGATGTTATGCTGAGTAAAAAATTCTTGTGCCTAAAATCTGTATTTTCTGATTTTGTTGTCATTTGGAAAGAAAGGAAGTTCCATTGCTTTGTTCCTGGTACTACTGCAACAGCTTTGAAAATCATAATGAGGTGACAGAAAGTTGGAGATGAGCTTCTTTAGGAGAAACCCATCTGCCAAAACCGCTTCCCTCACTTACCTGCAGGTGGGTGAAAAAGTGAATGCAGGTTTCCCCTCTCAAGCTGCTCCTGGGGGAAGAAAGAACACAGTTAATTGACAGCTTCTTCCCCCCAGATCTCCACTTTGCTACTGCCCGTCCGAGGCAGGGAGGCAGGAAGGGGAGCAACTGGCTCTGGTCTTCCCACCTCCATCAAACCTGAATCCTACAAGTAACTAAAATTCCACTTTCAACAGCAAGCCTGGGGGAAAAAAGGCACTCCTGTCCTCTCAGGTCTTCCTCACCTAAGTTTGCAAGTTTGGGGCTTCCCCACCCTTTCTTTCCCTTGTCAGTCCACTAAAGTCCAAGGCTCCTTTATTCCCTGTGACATTTATTACAGCAGCATATCACTCCAGCAAACCTCGCTATCTCAACCTCGCCACTAAAAACCAAGAACAAACAAACAGCCTATAAATGCCCCAAATAATCATCACAAATGCTGGAGACTAAGGTTCAGGCTCTTTGTTTACAGAAAAGCTCTTTGCTATTTTTAGGACCTTAAAAAAAAAAGATTTTATTTTTTCTTAAAGAGGAAGGGAAGGAGAAAGAGAGGGAGAGAAACATCAATGTGTGGTTGCCTCCTGTGCGCCCCCTACTGGGGACCTGGCCCACAACTGAGCCATGTGCCCTGACTGAGAATCGAACTGGTGACCCTTTGGTTCACAGGCCAGTGCTCAGTCCACTGAGCCACACCAGCTGGAGCAGGATCTTTTAATTTTTAGGATATTTCTCAGAAGCTCTGTGGACCAGTGGCCCATCTGTTCATAGGCAACACTTGGAAACAACAGAGAGAAAAATCCATAATAAGTAGGCTTCGACGGTTTACAAACACAGCTTTGACTTCAGAGGTAGTAAGCTACAAACGCCCTCCAAAGCCCCTCAGGCACACAGTATAAAACCTGATGTTTATAATTATGCTCAGTCATATGATAATTGAGGGGTCAAATATAAAAAAAGACCCAAGCCTGCGTCTCCTGTAAACCAAGGAATCGGGGTTGGATTTAAAATCAACTCTTTCTCGTCTATAAGACCCATTGCTGACTTCTGATCAAGATGGAGGCATAGGTGGACACACTGTGCCTCCTCACACAACCAAAATTAAGGACAACAAAAATTTAGAAACAACAAAAAAACAATCGGGACAGAAAATTGAACTGTACAGAAGTCTGACAACCATTCATCCAGACCGGTAAGAGGGGCGGAGTTGGCATCCAATGGAGAGAGGTCAAGGCAGGAAAAAGCAGTGGTTGGCAGACCCCAGGCTCGAAGAGGCAACAAGCAGACCCAGTGAGGCACACAGGTGGCTGGCAGACCGTGGTCACACATTTGTGTGCAGATAAACCTGGCAAAAATGGGCAGTGAGACAGATCGTGCAACCCAGGGCCCCAGGAATGGGAAATAAAGCCTAAAAGCACCGATTCAAAACACTTGTGGGGGTTGAGGTTCAGGGAGAGACTCCCAGCCTCACAGGAGAGTTCGCTGGAGAGACCCACAGGGTACTAGAACATACACAAACCCACACACCTGGGAACCAGCATCAGAAGAGCCCAATTTGCTTGTGGGAAGCGGCAAAGGGTACTGAAATCCGAGAGAGAGCCCAACAAATGCCGTTGCTCCCTCTCTGACCCTGCCCCCACAAACAGCATCACAACCCAGTGACTGGGTTGCCCCGCCCCGGTGAACACTTAAGGCTCTGCCCCTCATACATGTAACAGGCATGACCTGACCAGAAAATTATGGGTCAAAAAGAAGAACAAATCAAAGCCCCAGAGCCAATACTTTTAAGCAACCAAGAAAGAGCCAACCTATCAGATGCACAGTTCAAAACACTGGTCATCAGGATGCTCATGGAACCAGTTCATTTTGATAATAAATTAGATGAAAAAATGAAGGCTACATTAAGTGAAATGAAGGAAAATGCACAGGGAACCAATAGTGATGGGAAGAAAACTGGGACTCAGAGCAATGAAGTGAACCGGAAGGAAAAAAGAAACAACCACACAAAAAAGAATGAAGAAACAAGAATTTAAAAAAATAAGGAGAGGCTTAAGAACCTCCAGGACATCTTTAAACATTCCAACATCCGAATTATAGGGGTATCAGACGGGGAAGAGGAAGAGCAACAAGTGGAAAAGTTATTTGAACAAATAATAAAGAACTTCCCTAATCTGGCAAAGGTAATAGAGTTCCAGGAAGTCCAAGAAGCTCAGAAAGTCCCAAGGAAGGTGGACCCAAAGAGAAACACACCAAGGCACATCATCATTACATTAGCCAAGATTAAAATGGAGAGAATCCTAGAAGCAGCAAGAGATAAGGGGACAGTCACCTACAAAGGAGTTCCCATCAGACTGTCAGCGGATTTCTCAAAAGAGACCTTGAAGGCAAGAAGGGGCTGGAAAGAAGTATTCCAAGTCATGAAAGGCAAGGACCTACACCCAAGATTGCTCTATCCAGCAAAGCTTTCATTTAGAATGGGAGGGCTGATAAAGTGTTTGTCAGATCAGGTCAAGTTGAAGGAGTTCATCATCACCAAGCCCTTATTATATGAAATGTTAAAGGGACTTATCTAAGAAAAAGAAGATAAAAAAGATGAACAGTGAAAGGACAGCAAACTCAGTTATTAACCACACCTAAAACAAAAGCAAACTGAGCAGACAGTTAAAACAGGAGCGGAGACACAGAAATGGAGATCACATGGAGGGTTAGCAACAGGAGAGTGGGAGGAAGAGAGGGGGGGAAAGGTAGAGAGAATAAGCAGCATAGATGGTGAGGAGAAAATAAGGGGAGGGCAAGAGTAGTATGGGAAATGTAGAAACCAAAGAACTTATGACATATGGACATGAACTAAAGGTGGGGAATGTGGGTGGGGGGGTGTGCAGGGTGGAGCAGAATGAAGGGAGGAAATGGGACCACTATAATGGCATAATCAATAAAATACATATTAAAAAATCAATAAACCTTTCTTAAAAAACATTGCTTTCCCTTTTCTTTCCTTTCCACCACTTTTTAAATGTTTCAGTTACAGTTGGCATTCAATAGTAGTTTCAGGTGTAGAGCACACTGCTGCTTGGACATTTCTATGACTCCTGTCTAGTGCCCACCTGGCACCATGCACGACATTATCACAATGTTATTGATGGATTCCCTCCGCTGGGCTTTTTCACCGCCCGGGACTACTTTGGAACTGCCCGTGGGACCCGTGGTTTTCTTTACACCGCGGCTGCTTCAGCTTCTGAACTTAAAAGCCGTGAGAGATGTGCTTCTCAGACAACCTCGACGTACCTAAATTACCAATGTTTAGGGGCTCCGCCACTTGGAAAGGCCACCACTGAAGAAACCTGGCGACCTCGGGGCTTGCCTGCGGCGGGCGTGAGCGCCAGGAAACGAAATTTCCGCAGGCGGAGCATTAGTTTCAGGGCCCGCGGCCGCGAGGGGCGTTAGGGGGCCACGCGGGTCCCGGGGACACAACCCCCGCTCCTCCCAGCAGGACGGGGAGGAGGTTGGAGAAAAAAGGACAGGAATAGAAACCCACACTCATTGACCCGCTAAGGTCTCCGGGGCGCGGTCGCGAGCTCACGACCTCCCGCTGCTGCGCCCCGGATGCAGTCTTTCTCCGAACAGCGTTCCACACCGACTCCAGGTTCAGACTTCCGGCCAGCTGCCCGCCGCCTCCCTGCGCCCCCAGGCCAAGGGCTGAGAGGATGCGGGAATCCGCCAATCACTGCGCGCATGTGGTCGGAGTGGGTGGGGCCTGAGAGATTCGAAAGAAGCACCGCCCCCTCGGATAGCAGATTCCCCGGGCTAAGCTGTGGGAGAAAAGCTAAGTCCGTGGGCGGTGCTGTGGGGCGGAAAGTGGAAACTCGGGGTAGGCTGGGGGTGTGGCGTGGCCGTACTGCCCCGGGGAGTGGAAAGGTGGCTTGGGGAGAGGAAGAACCTGGAGGAAGGTGGCAGGGAAGAAGATAGGACGCGTGGAATGCCCCCAGTGTGGAGAGGCCGGGTCGCAGAGGGACAATCAGCGAAGGGGGATTGGGTTTCACCGGGAGCTCTCTGCACCTTCCGCGGAGGTAACGGTAGCAAACCAGAGCAACTACTACTCCTGGAAAGCTTGCTTTACTCCAGGATGACGCTCAACTCCTGGCTTGCACCCTGACTGTACCTGGGAGTGTTGGGCATGATGAAGACCTGAGGAAAGGTATGCTTTCTCTCCCCTTCAGGTCTAAGCTGACTGCTGCTCCTGCTGGCTGGAACATGGGAGATTTGCAGGAAGGTAAGGATATCCTGGAGGGAAGATTGAGACCCTGCGACCGAGAAATATGTTAGGGACCCACAACTGGCATTCATTCTTCCCTCCCCTACAGATGTCAAGTTTATAGTGGATGAGACTTTGGACTTTGGAGGGCTGTCACCATCGGACAGGTACCGGTCTCTTCATCCTACTCACGTTCCTCCAATGATGCTCCTTACTCTAATCCCTTACTGCTGAATGTTTGGTCTCGGGGGTGCGAGTTGGTAATTTGGCCAGATTATGTGCACCGAGGCTGCTGTGGTTGGTTTACTTGGGCCCTATAACACCACTCCTGGGGGAGGGAAGAAGAGAGAAGCTGGAATGAGATTGCAGGGTGTTAAGGAGTGTAAGCGGATTTACTGCATCTTCATCTGGAATAATTTCCAGTGTCAGTAAATGCTAAAGTCCTATTCGGCCTCTTAGAAGCAGGTATATCATCCCCTAGAGGCCAGCACCAGCAACGGGGTTTGGGGTCATGGCCTAGTCTCCCTCACACAGTCTCCTGCTCTCCTCTGTGTGGACATGGTGCCTGGTTTGTTTTCTGTCTCAGTCGTGAGGAGGAAGATATAGCCGTGTTGGTGATTCCGGAGAAACCCCTCCGACGAGGCCTCTCCCACCGAAGTGACCCAAATGCACTGGCCCCCACCCCTCAGGGTGTGAGGTTCAGCTTAGGGCGCCTGAGCCCAGAGAAGCTGGAGGAGATCCTCCATGAGGCCAACAGGCTGGCTGCGCAGCTGGAGCAGTGTGCCCTGCAGGATCGGGAGAGGGCGGGCGAGGGCCCAGGGTCTCGCAGAATGAAGCCCAGCCCTCGGCGGGAGACCTTTGTGCTGAAGGACAGTCCTGTCCGAGACCTGCTGCCCACTGTCAGCTCTTTGGCTCGAAGCACCCCCTCTCCAAGCAGCCACACACCCCGACTCCGGAGCAGCGATAAGAAGGGGTCAGTCAAGGCTCTTCGGGCTACATCTGGAAAGAGGCCTTCCAGTGCAAAGAGGGTGAGTTTAGAGGGTCTGGGCTGGATGTGTGGCCCCACAGTCCAGGGGACACAGTCCAGGCAGAGAGTGGTTTCCTCATTAGAAAGATGGAGATAGTGAAATCCTGCCTCATAGCACTGTTGGAATTAAAAATGCAGTACCAGAAGCCATGTACTTACCACTGTGTCTGTGCAGAGCACTAGGTCTTCTGTAATAAACTCTCAGTGGCTGATATTGGTGATGATGATAATGGTGTTAGCAGCTAACTTCTGCCCTTCCTTACTGGGATCTGGCTGCTGTCCATCTCTATCCCATAATCAGCCAGCAGAACAAATTATTTTTCCATTCTAGTCCCATTTTTTTTCTCTTTCTCTTTTTGTGTTTCAGGAGTCGCCCACTTGCCATCTGTTCCCCACATCCACAAGCCCAGCATCTTCTCCTCTTGCCCGATCAACTCCTCCAACCCGATCAACTCCTCCTACTCGATCAACTCCTCCAACCCGATCAACCCATCCAACCCGATCAACCCCTCCAACCCGATCAACCCCTCCTACCCGATCAACCCCTCCTACCCGATCAACCCCTCCAGTCCGATCAACTCCTCCAACCAGGGAAAAAGCTGGGCCCAGTGGGAGAGCAGCAGCAAGTAAGAGGGCCCAGGCAGCAAAGCTGTGGGTGAGTGGGAGGGTGTGAAGCTTACTCTAAAATTCCTCTGCCCTCTACAACAGGCCCGCCTGTCCCCGTCAGACCAGTCTTGGCCCCACAGCCTTCTACCAGCAACTCTCAGCGCCTGTCTCGGCCACAGGGAGCAGCCACTAAACCTTCCAGCCGACTACCTGTTCCCTCGGCCATCCCCAAGCCAGCCAGCCGAGTGCCACTCACCAGCCGGAGTGTACCACCCAGCAAAGGTGCCCTAGCTCCGGATTCAGTGTCAGCTCGGAAAGGACTTCCAAGACCAAGTGCTGCAGGGCACAGAGGTAAGGAAGAATGGACGTAAGGGCGAGAGGTCAGGAGTAAGAATACCCGCCCTTGCCCAACTTGACTGCACCCTCCCAGAACTGGTAACAACCACCACTTTCTTCATCTTCATTACAACTCTGTTTGAAGATGGTGAGACTGAGTTACAGAGCGAATGTGGGCCTGGCCAAGGGTTTGAGCCTTGCGTTTCAAAAATACCTTGTGTTCTTTATCTCAGCTGAGAGGAAGGGCACTAATACCAAACTCACTCTGCCTGCATCCAGTATTTATCTTTGTGAGAATGTCAGTGAACTTTCTGCTAACTCATTTATTTCGTTAACCCCCACCAAGTTCCTGTCTTCCAGCGACCACATCTTCCTGGTGCCACGCGCAGCAACCTGCATCCTCCCAGAAAAGTGGCAGCCCCAGGACCTACCAGGTATGGCTGGTGGAAGCTGTCTCTCTCTCCCTTCTCGTCTGGGCATCTGAGCTGTTAGACCCATCAGCCCTGAATCCTGTGTGGCAAGATGGGGAAGAGGAGGGGAGCCTAGAGGTTTGGGGTGTCCCATTTCTTCCTGAAGAACTTGAACTCAGCTGGGTGATACGAGCTTGAGGAAGAAGGGTGATAAAGCAGTTCTTCCTTCCGTCTTTTCAGGTAAAGCGATCAGGACAGCAAGCAAGAGGAATTCAGTAGCAAACCACTACAGTCCCTGCCTGGGACGTACCTCTCCTCTGCCCTCCCAAGCCCTTTCATGGGAAGCAGTTCCTGACTCCCGCAGATTCTGGCCCAGGGGCAAGAGGAGGACATGCACCAGAGCTGGTGCCCCAGGAAGATGGGGTGGGTTAGGGTTGAGCTAGAGGGGATTCAAACTCTTTGGATGGAAAGATTAGGGAAAAGAGGTCACTCCTCAGCAGTGAAATTAACAAAACAGGTGTCCTCATCCCTGTCCCCCACCACCACCAGCTGTTATGTGCAGCCCACACAGGTGGATCTTCTTCCCAGGCAGTGGTTCACAGGGCAGTTTATACCTGTGCATGGCCTCTGTAGCTGCCCTCTCTGCCCTCCAAGGAGCAGTCCTCTGGAATCACAGCCCCTGCTGGACACAGAGGCAGGCTCCTGGCCCCCAGAACTTCTTTCCTGTGAATTCTGTGACTCTTAACAGGCCAGTTGATGATAAGCATCCTCCTTTGGCCTGCATTTTTCTAAAATAAAATGAGTGTATTTTTATATTCTCTGTATATGTGAAAGTAATTCCTGCTCCAGTTTCTAACAAATTTAGAGTAAACGCCTATGTAAGTCCAATGAGGGAACCGGGATGGGCTTTCCCAGGCAGAGGGACCAGAATAGGCCTCAGGCCTTGAGGCTCTAGATAAACAGGCTGTAACTACCCCCTTGTTGGTATTAAATGGGAACAGGTTGCTTTTTCTCAGGGTTTTTATATCATTAAAAGGTCCAGATCAAGAAGTGTAGCTTAGCCCTGACTAGTGTGGCTCAGTGGATTGAATGCTGGCCTGCAAACCAAAGGGCCGCTAGCTGGATTCCCAGTCAGGGCACATGCCTGGGTTGCAGGCCAGGTCCCCAGAAGGGGGTGAGCAAGAGGCAACCACACACTGATGTTTCTCTCTCCCCGTCTTTCTAAAAATAAATACATAAAATCTTTAAAAGTAGCAGCATCGTAACTTGATTCACAGTATGTGAGGCTATCAAGCCAGGGTCTCGGTAAATTCTTTATATCCTAAACTTGGGTGTCCTTTCCTGGCCAGAGAATGGAACCTCCTGGGAACTTGTGAGCATCTTGTCTGCTGTAGTTACGGACTAAGGGGCCCTTCAGTGGGTACTTTGATATTCAGCCTCCCTGACCACCACAGGCAGAAGGTACTAGGACAATTCCTCACGGTCCACCTTGTTTCAGTAGAATTGTTGGTGTTCTCTTACCTCTACTAGACTCCAGGCTTTATAACCCCCTGCAATGCCTAGTGTTGTGATTTGTATGTGGTGAGAGAATTTCATTCATTTATTGAAAAAATAATTGAGGGCAAGATGGGTGTTCAGTGAACAACAAAGACCCATTTGTAACAGAGGTAACTAAGGGTCTCCCTCTTCTCAGAGCCTTTGACTTTGCAACCAGAACCAGCTCAGTTCCTTTTGAGTTTTGAAAGAATGTCTCTCTTTGAAGTCCAGTCCATGACTTAAGGAAACCAGCAGGCAACTGGGCAAAGGAAGTACATGCCAGCTGGTGCCCACCCCATCCAGGCTTAAATGCCCTTCAGCATCCTGGGTAGGTACCAAAATGCCCCTCTGTTCCTAGGCCAGGGCCCTCCACTGCTTTCTTCTTCTTCTTCTTTTTAATTTATAGAGAGAGGGGAAGGCAAGGAGAAAGGAAAAAAAAAACAATGTGTGGTTGCTTCTCATGTGCCCCCCTGGCCTGCAACCCAGGCATGCGCCCTGCCTGGGAATCAAACTGACGACCCTTTGGTTTGCAGGCTGCCACTCAATCCACTGAGCCACACCAGCCAGAGCTTCTCCTTTCTATGGGTGATTTTCAGGTTCATTTCACACACTCACCTCTACTATAATGACAGCTGCCTAGACATTCACCTTTCCCTCAGCCTCTTGCAGCAACTCTTGCAGCTCTGGGATTCCAAAAATTGAGTTGGGGGTATGAAGTGTGGAGACACACTGAATATTTGACCTGGGAGAAATTTGGCAGAGGCAAGAACACCTCAGGTGTGTTTCCCAGGTAAGTCTTGCACCGGTGTCTAGTAAGCAGGGCCTATTGGTGACTACCCACTCTGACAGAAGCACTGAAAGGTTGGCAAGCCTAGGCACACACTTAGGCGGGTCCGACAGATGCCAAGTGTGGCCGGGGTATGGGCCTGGCTCTGGTAGGTCCTTAGAATCCAAAAGAGCTGCAGACCCATGTGCTGTTGCCACCTGGTGGCCAGAGAGTACAAGACATATTCCTTTGGCCCTCTGAGTCAGTCCTGAATTTTGTACCCAACTCCACCCACTCCAAACCTGCTTGAGCAAAATGTATGAGGTAGGTAGTGCCAGCTAGGGAGGAGGTCTGTCTGCTACAGCAGTTTTGTTCAGCCACCTGTTGACTCTCTTCCCTTTGGTCTGGCTTTCTAGTTTTCTCTTTAGGCATCCACCCCTGCCCTCACCCAGCAGCAACATCGAGGGAAACCAGTGTTTATTGGCCTCTTAGTTGTTATGCACTGTGAACTGTTCTAAGCACTTTACATATGTTAACTCATTTAATTCTCATAAAGGCTCAATTAGGTGGATGCTAGTATTATCCTCATTTTACAGGCAGAGAGAAACGAAGGCCCAGAGAAATGAAGTCACTCGCTCCATTTCCTGGGTATGTGTTCTTACAGTGGCCTCCCTCAATTGCCCCCATATTAACTCCCTACCTTCTTGGTTAAACAGACCTTTGTAAAAGGTCTGTTTAATGAAACTTGGGAATAGAAGTAATGTTGCAGAGTACATAGTTGGCTTGGAGTGTGAGTAGCTGCTTCATTTCCATTGGGGGAAAATAAATGACACACAAAATAGCCCAGAGACATAGAGGTAGGAGGTACCCCATCACTGAGGTACTTGAAATTCCCGCCAGCCTCTCAGCTCAGCCCTCCCAGTCCCTGAATTCCACCTGCAGGATGCGAGCCCTAAGGGGTTGGGCTGGAAACCTCCCTGCCATGTCTTCCTTGGAAATGGCAGGACATGGGCTCTGTGCTGATGAGGCTGTTTGGGGAGGTACAACTGGGGTGCTGATAGACTGGCTCACGCCAGCCCCTTGGCATCCAAGTCCCCTGACCTGGCCCTGCCTGGTGGTTTTCGAGAGGCCAGGCCTCCCGCCCTCTGGATGGACCACGCAGAAGCAATGACAGCGATGCTTGACCCGCACAGAACTAGTTTATTCAGTAGTATGGGGAAATGAAAAAACAAAAACAAAAAAACAACCAAGCACAAAAACCCTACGATATTTACAGTAACAATCAAACTGTACAATCTGATGGTTAGTATCAAGTTAGAATCCAGCATCTTTGTACTTTTTAAGTCAAGTCATCAGTAGTAAAAACCAGTTAAATTTTTAACCCTTTGCAGGAATTGCTGAGGGGAGAGGTCGGGGGGAGAATCCATAACAGGGAAGCCAGAGACCAGTCGTACAAATGAGAAGCAGGGGCCGTTTTTGTCGCCCCCTGCTCCAGAGTGAAGTCCGTGACAAGTCTGGAATACATGCTTAGCGTAAACGGTGGCTCAAACGAATAGCAGTTGGCAAAACTGAGGAGGAGGGAGGAGAGGCAGGGAGGTGACGGCCTGGAGCAAGGGGAAGGGCCTCGGGCCCCATGCCAGGACTGCTGGGTACACACCCAGCCTGTTACAGCCACATCAGACCCCCTGGGACCGGATACGAACCCATCCCAACACAAAAAAGCAAATAAATAAAAAATATATATTAACTCTCTCTTCGAAGGGAGCTGGGGTGAGGGGGCCAGGGGTGTGGGAAGAAAGAGGAACAGGACCTGGTCCTTTGAAGAAGAGAGCCAATTCCCAGAAGGGGTTAAAAATAGAACATGTCTCAGAGGCCACAGCAGGTCAGACAAAGTGGGGTGGTCCGTCTGATCTTGGGGGGGTAGGTGAGTGAACCCCAGAATCCAGACTTCAGACCAGTGCTGGGAGCAACTGAGCCAGCACTACCTTTACTCCTCCTCTTCCCTGTCCCACCCACACAACAGCAAAGAAGCGCAACTGAACGTGACTGGCCTTCCCCACAAGTGGGGCGGGCAGGGAAATGAAGCACTTTTGGGTCAGCGAACTGAGCAAACGCCTGGACTTCTCACATGGCCAGAGTCCAGGAAAAGGAGAGGGGCTAGGGTGGCCCGGCCGCCACCTGGGGGCACGGGTTCCCCTCAAAATGTGTTCATGCAGCATTTGGGGGTCCGGGGGCGCTGAGTCCTTCTGCCCCCTCTCCGGACAAGGCTTCTTCAGTTCCTGGGAGGGGCGGCACAGGCAGGGTGAGGAGCGCCCCTGCCGGGCTGCCCTCACCGCACTGAGGCCCGCCCGGGGCAGCCTGCAGGGCTCCATGCCCTGGGTGCATGTGGCTTTGTCCTTTCCTTTTGGTGATGGCAAATGAGGGGCAAGCCCCCCAAGAGTCGCTCTCCTCCCAGAGGCACAGCAGATGGGAAACCGAGGAGAAGCTGGGGAGCATCCTGGGAGGTCCTATCCTCTTTGGGAAGGGAGTGGGAAGTCAGTTTCCAGCATATAAAAAAAATTAATCCCTGAAGTCATGAAGAGTGAAGATCCTTTTTAAAATTTTTTTTCCTCTTTTCTGAAAAACTTTGTCTTGGAGATGTTGGCCCCAGGGGTCCAAAGTGCAGTGAGGGGATGACAGGGGAGGGAGTTGGCACTAGATGGCCTTGGGTGGGGTGGGCACCCCTCCCGGCAAGGCCCAGGCTCCTCAGATGGACGTTTCATCGCTGCTGCGGACAGGCGTGGGGAGCGGGGGCAGGATAAAGCACAAGACAGGAGTGGGGGCGTGAGTGCCGCTGGGGAAGGCCAGGGAGCCTCAGAGTGTGGGAACCACCGGCCCAGGGTTAATGCAGGAAGTTAAAGAAGAGAAATCTGGAGAGGCAGGAAAGGAAAGTGACAGAAAAAGCAGACAGAGGATTAGTCGGAGCAGAGGAGACAGAAGCTTCCACCAGAAGAAGGAAACAGAAAAGCAGCCCCAGCTCCCGGCCCTCCCTCACTTTGCCTGAAGCCAGGCTGGGCCGAGCCCACGGGGCACCATGGTTTGTGGGCATGTGCAGTAAGGGAGCTGGATCACAAAAACCGCCCATTTGTCATTTGTCACCTGCCAGGGAGAGCAGGCTGGGAAGGCCTGCAGGCAGCTCTGAGCCCAACAGGGGCCTCTGCACCCTGTCCCGCCTACCCAGCCACACTCACTCGGAGCCTGACGAGTCCTCATCCACTGTGCCTGCCTTGATGCTCATGGCGATGGGCATGACCCCATTTAGCTGCTCCTGGAGACTCTGTCGGGGTGGGGGGCGGGGAGGAAGCCCACCCCGGCTGCCCTCGCTGGCTGAGGAGCCCCGGGAAGACCCCGTGCCCTGCTCCAGGGGTAGCCGTAGGAGGCTGCTCTTCTCGCTGATGGTGGGCAGACACTTCTTCTTGAGGATGCCTGTGGGCCAGGAGGGCAAGTGCCATGAGAAGCAGGAGGTGGGAGC